AGATCCTGTGCTTCCATTCATTTGGTTATTTATCCCGGTGCTTTATCCAACCTTGGAGAAGCACCAGGTATTATTTATCGTAGCTTTCGCATATAGCCTTTAGGCGACTTTCAAATGACCAACCTTCCAAGATTTAGTCGTTCAGATCATTAAATGATTCTCATATGTGAGTATGAAGTATTATATATAGTTATATGTCAGGCACTTCCTTATTAACCACGGACTCACCAAAGCTTAAAGATTTACCGTATTTTAAAATATTTCAGGAACTATGAGTTTATCTTATATAAAACCAGAAAAGCCTCTGTATTTTTGTCGATAGCGTGAATTGCAGTTTTTTTTTTTTTCCCTGAGACAAGATTTTGCCGTGTGGTTCTGACTGGCCTCAAGCCCACAGTCTCCCTGCTGCTGGTATTCCAAGGGCATGCCGTTACATTCAGATGAAATAATATCTGTCATGAAATAACTTATTCCATGTCCTTCCAGGCATGTCTCCCAGTAGTCTAAAATTGAACTTTTTTTTTCATTTCACTGAAAAGAGGAGATCTGATTTTATGTCTAACACATGGAGATTTCCAGCGAGATAAAATATTTTTATAATGTCAACATTATGCTGCAAAATTAAGGGCTTCATTAAGTGTTTATGTTTAACCTTCAGTTTAGCAATGTAAATCTCTGCAGGAAGGACTATGGTCGACAGGGCACCAGTGATGGCTTTGCTGCCTAAAGCCTTTGAAGTGTCAAGGGGTGGAGGCACTTAGTTGGCCCACGGAATCATCGAAGTGCAACTCGTCACCTTCTTGCTTTGGAAACTCTAAGAAAGGAACATGCAGTTTCCAAAAGAGCAGCATTCTTTAAATGTGTGAAGCCTGACTTACCTGTGCAGAAATTCTACATACAAAATAGAGAATCTTTTTTTTTTTTCAAAAAAGAAAAAAGTTTATAGTTTGCCTATTAATATTACACACTTACTAAAAGTTGTATTTTTTTAAGGACCAGTCAACCTAGAGAACAGGAAGCAGGACTGATAAGAAGATAATAAGCCCACAGACAGCACACACACACACAAAGGTACTGAGGTAATGAGCGTGATTGACCTGCACACTCTAAAGAAGGACAAGTGTGTCAGTCACCGAGGGGACAAAGTCTAGCTCCCCCAAACCAGGACCAGTTATCAGTGCCATGGTCAGGGTCATGGGAGAAAATTAAGGCATGTCATTGTGTACACAGCATAGAGACTAGGAGGAAAAGAGACATTTGTAGATAATGAATGAATATGAATGAGAGAATTAATGAACAGAAGCATAATAAACCAGTGATTATGGATGTGAAGCTACATCGTGAATCTGCAAAGGCACAAGGAAAAATGTTTCCAATTTTCTACGGTAGCTGTTCAAAACAGCTACGTTCACAAATTTGTCGCCTGTGAAACACTGCCCTCCTGAGGGTCACTATCAGTCCCTGCCAAGCAGATCTGAAAACAGGTTGATTCTGAATTTAAAGAGATAAAGCCCAGGGGCCTGCTACATCTTCCTGTATTGTTCCAGGGTGCCAGGGTGGAGAGCATCAGAAGCACACAAGAGATGAGTTCTGAGAAAACCACTTCTCCAGCTCTTCTCATTTGCTTTGTGTTGAGAGTACTTGTCTGTCGAGAATCTGAAGATAATTATTCTTTCTCAGTGCTGATTAAGGCTCATCATCTGCCTGCCTGGAATCCAGGCTTGAAGCATCTGCAGGATTTCTTTTCTTTTCTTTTTTTTTGTTCCCCTGATAAGGTTTCTAATACTTGCACAGTGGGCCACCTAATTCTGTCCCTTCTGCAGAGACGAATTATACCACAACAAACGTAGGGGAGTTTGCAAAATTCATCTTTCCTGTGGTAGTTATAATTTCAAAAATTAACAAATATTCATTTAGCATCACATTATATGGGAGAGGAAGGAAATGTTTTCCTGTGATTTGTTGTAGCTACCCCATCTAAAGGTTGAAGGGGATGTGGGATTGACCGGTACGTTCCGGCTCTGAGAGAGCCATTACTTAAAATTTAAGTATACCACCCTCCCCCAAAAAGTTAGGAACTAACATATTTGTTAATTAGTATTCTGAAAGCAATGATTTTCTTTAAAATTTTTTTTTTTTGGTTTGGAACCCCTTTCTATCCTAGTGTTTGTGCCCATAGTTTGGAAATCTGAGCTGTGGCTGGGTCATTTTGAATGAACACGTGTGGTCATGCCATGGGCCACCTCCTAACTTATCTTTCCTCTCTTCTTGGCTTTCACTAGACTTCCTCTGTTTTCTGTTGTGTTTCCATCTTTTTGCTTTTTAAAGGATCTCTCTGGTTGCATTTAGTTAATAACCCTTAGGTTCTCATTTATATTATCTACCTTGTGATAAAATGAAGTAAAATTGCTAAACAGGCTTAGAGATCCAAGATTCTCTTCCCTTGGGACAATATCTTACTAAAAGGCCCATGGGCACAGGAGGAAGCCTTAAACAATTGTGACTGTGAGTCTCACTTCGTGATTCTGTTCCCCCGTGTTCATAGCATTCAGTCTGTGTAGTGCAGTCCTGTTGAAGTGAAACTGTTTTCATTGGTAAGGTCATTTACATTCACTACCTTTCACTTATGTAGAAATGAGAGAAGTGTCTATGAGCCAGCTCCCTCGTATACTTGCAGACATAACCAACCCTGAATAATATTCCCTCCTGTTTCAACATCTGACTTCATGTCACTCTTGTAGAGAAAACGTTGGGAGTCCACCCATTCCAGGGTTGTTTCCCAGCACCTGAAAGCCTTGAAAAGAAGTGGTGGTGCATGGGTGTTGAATGTTTCTGCTCTGCATGAATAACGACTGGGTGGTCTGTAACAACCTCTGCAATTTTCAGAGACCCTGACTTCCTCCCGGTATACAGATATATGCTGGAATCTATAGCTGAAGAACTAAACGTCCATTTCCTATGACTGCCATCCAAACCTTGCAGTCATTCAAAATATACTTTCCAATAACTTCCCAGGTAAATTACACAGAATTTTAAAGCTACTCTTTAGAACGTCTTTTCAAAAAATTGAATGATATGTTCTTCATTTAAATGATGTTAAGCATATTTTGCCATTTGAAAAAATTATAAATGATGCAATAATGTCTAGTTTATAATTAAAATACAGATTTGCTGTAATGCAATTAAAATTTTACTTCATACTGCTAGACACTGTAACTTAAATTGGATTACTTATAAGCTTGAAAGTATTTATAAGGGATTATGTTTTAAATAGGGTGTGTACAGTTTGAAGATAAAAATTATAATGTCTGTCCATCTCAGTTTCAAACTTTCAAACAAAGGTACCCATATTTAGCTAACTTTCAAAGCATTTCCTGGAGAGATTGTTTTGTATGATAGTGAAATCAGTATGTGATTTCTTCTGTTTTTTTTTTTAAAAAATCTCCGTTTTCCCTCCACACAGTGAACATGGCCACAAGCAGGCTCATAGGGGCTGTGGCTGGCACCATACTGGCCCTGGGGGTGATTTTTGGAGGCACAGGGTGGGGAATAGAGTAAGCATCCTCGTGAGTTTCTGGGTGTCTTTCATTGGTGCTTGGTGTATGAGGTGATGCTCGAACCCTGTCCCTTCTGTGTTTTGTCTTGTTTGGTGTTTCTTGTTGGTAATGTCATCTGTGCTGTGATTCGGCTGTATTTGTGTCTTGTGATTTTCTCCTGCACTGTAGAACCTTCTCCTGTCTGGAACAATGTGGGGCATAAAACAATGTTGGGGTGCTTAGTCACAATTCAGGCAAGAGCCCAAAACTTCCTTTGCCTCCTCACTTGTAAAGAATTTTTAAAGTACAGATCTTAGTTTTTCTTCCTATTAATTGGCAAAATGATTTTATGTGAGAGTTTTCGTAGAAGTATTATAATGAATTTACTTTTATCACTCAAATTAATCTAGATATGCAGTTAGAAATACCAACAACTATCACACTTTATAGGTAGTGAGAATGGTAGCCACTGATGCTTTCCTATTTATTGAGAATGATATCGAAGGCTTCAACTCAGATTTTCAAAAGAAGACATTAAGGACACTCCTTCCTTCCTTCCTTCCTTCCTTCCTTCCTTCCTTCCTTCCTTCCTTCCTTCCTTCCTTCCTTCCTTTCTTCCCCTTCTTTTCTCTTTCCTTTTTTGTTACAACATTGGTTCACAGTTCAACTTTGAGGTTTTCATAAACATTGGGGCAAGGAACATGAGAAGCGAGAACAGATTAAGTTTGAACCTGCCCAACCGTAGGGAACAGCTGCAGTTCGTCTGGTTGGTTTGTCTTTAAACTACCGGTGTCTACACCAGTGTGTCGCGTACCCATTAGACTCTCCTGATGCTTGAGTTTAGCTCCCTCTGCGCTTGATCCACACCTTCCAGATGGCTGAGGTTGCTAGGTACAGACTAGCTTATCAGGAAGCCTGTTCCTTTCCATTACCCAGAGAGTATTTACATACACACCACGGGAGTCACCCTTCACACACTGTGCACACACACTGTGTTTCCTGTTTACTGGGGTTCTGCTAACACTTTATGGTGGCCCAAAAATGAATTATCAATGTCTCGAGGAGACACCAGCTATCCCTGACTTAGCCCAAAGAACGTGTATGTGCGCTGTCAGCACAGCCCTTAGTTTCACTAGTTGGGGGACACATCTGCTCTCCTATACCCAATTTGGGCTCCCCAGTAGCCATAGGAGTGGATCAGGTGTGTAGGTTACACATGAAGCTGTTCTGCTGTAGTTGGAAAGCCTGGTCAGCCTTAGCTCTTTAAAAAACAAAACAAAACAAAACTTTTTTTTGAGACAGAGTCCCGTCTCAGTCTGTTGCTCATGTTCATCTGGAACTTAACTGTGTAGCCTAAGGCTAGCCTTGACCTTGCAGCAGTCCTTCGGCCTCAGACTCCTAAGTGCTGGAATTACAGGTATGAGCGCTCACACCTAGCTTAGCTTTATGCCCTTAACTCACTGTCCCGTCAATGTGGTCTGTGAAGCTAGTTAGATGAGGAGAGAGGTAGGGAACCCTGGAAAAGGGCTTGTATTTTTTTTTCACCTGTGAGAAAACGAAGCATGTAACAGTGCTAAAATGATTGATGACAAGAACTTGGTCCTGCAAGAGGCACCTTGGTACTGTTGGCCAAATGTTCCCATCCCAGTGCCAAATTCTAGACATACGTTTATGTGAAATTCTCCTGAGAAGAAAGGCAGTTTTCCAGAGGCCATCTCAGATGTGTTTTCTATGTGACTTAGTGGCCAGAGGTTCAGTGCCTTCAGCTATGGCCAATGCAATAAATTCTGGTCATCCTTCAAGTCTTAGCGATGGACAGGATCCCCCCCAAAAAGGTCCTTGTTGTAAACAGTCCTGTTAGCAGCCTTTGTCCCCATCCATCCTTTCCGATGTGGTTGGTCTGTTGCTGTTTATGCTTGTGACAGGTAAGTGTGTAAGTGTACATTCCCCCTCCCCCCTACAAAAAAGGTTTTGCTGTTCTTGTTTCGTGAATGTTTTCTCTAGTGGCTTACTGACATTCCCCCTCCAACTTCCATTTATGTGTAATGGATGATGGGTTTTTAACCGGACAGCACAACATAGTTTTAATACTTCAGGGCTTCACTGACAGTGCAGTGTTCATTCAATCAGCAAGGCTTCCAGGGTCAGATTTAACGTCTACATTTCTACTCCTTAGTTGAGAATCGCACCCCAGCATCACTTCTCACGGATTCTGTATTGAATCTGACTCCAGCCTCTGTTTTCTGAGCCCACAAAATGCAGACTGCCTGAAATGTAGGTGCATAACATGGTCCTAGGAATACTTTAAAAAAAAAATTTTTTTTTCTTCAGATTTCACTGTGGGGAAGGGGCGGGGCAGTGTATGGAGTAGCAGGAAGTTTCGTCAGAGTCATCCACAAACTTTCTGTGAAGGGCCAGGTGTAAATAGTTTTGTCTTCCAAGCTACAAGGGTGTCCATCACAGCCATTCAACGTTGCTGTCCAAAGCAGCCACAGTCAGTATATAGGTAAAAAAGCATGGCTTTGCTACAAACAAAAATGTCTTGGCCCAGACAGATCCTGAGGACAGATTTGGTCTGTGGACTCCAGTCTGTTGACCCTTGATTCATAACGCAAGTCTTGAAGTCAGAACGGTCCCCATTTCCTGCCTCACATGTTCCTTTGTGAGGATTCAGTGAGATATGTCAAATGTTCAGTAATGAGTGGAGTCAGTGCTCATTCTACAGTCTCTAGAAGGCATTTGTCATTTTCATTGCTGTTATTATTATCCTCGATGTATCTCCAAAGGCCACTGAGATTCATGGTCTATAGACCTTCCGTGGTTTAAGAGCATGTCAAAACCCAGGAATCAGAGAGGACCCCCATCCTGGACCCACTTACATCTCTAGTACTATGTGGTTTCTGGGCAGAACCATTACCCTTACATCTGTGGGGATGTCACCAATGGTGTCCGCTTGTATGAGAGAAGAAACTCTTCTGCCTGGGAATGAATGTCTGTAATACACTTAAAGGTTTTAGGAAAACCAGCAAATGTGGCTAGTTTGTGACTTATGGGCAGGTGTATGTAGCTAGCACTTGAAGGTATTTGGTTATTAGGGGGCACTGCTATGCATGTGCATAGTAGATCCTGGAGGATGTGAAACTTCATTCTTAGTTTAAACGTTTAAGCTACGTATAACTTTGTTTTGATCTTTAAAGGCTGAATGAAGGGAGAGGATGAAGCTACTGTAATTTCTGTCGACTTATCAGTGGCAGTCTCTTTACTTCATATTGTCATGCCTCAGTGTCTTCTCTGATTTTTAAATGTACTGCCAAGTTTCAGATCCCCCAGTGAGAAATGGAAATTTAAAAGATACTCTCTAATGGAATGTAAAGAATTCTTTTTTTTTCTTATTCCCGTTTCCTATAAACTACTCATAGAAATTTTAGGTCTCCTACACCCGCAAGCCCATTTTTGGGGGGTTAAACACTGAAGAACCAGGAAGAAAGGTCCGGGAACGAAATTGCAAGGCCAGGTGTCTTTATCGGTCGATCTCTTCTGATTAAAATTCTCACTGTTTCCCAGTACAGAACAAAAAGGCCTGGAGAATGTGCTGTGTTGGTCGGAGAAGCACGGTCAGGGGGTCATTTATCTCCTGTGTTTGGCAGTCAGGTGGGGCCAGTGCTAATGGAGCCCGGTTCCTTATTTGCACAAACCTGTTTGATTTATGATATGAGTGGAGGGGAGGAAGAGAACACGTATGCACGGAAGGCCGGTGGGGTTGATTTGCTTTAGGTTTTTAGGAAGCTGAGCTTAACAGAGCTTAACCTCCAAAGAAAAGGTAGCAAAGAAAGAGTAGATTCAAAGACCACTGATCCAACCAGTCACCGGTGGAGGCATCTGACATGGGATTAAAGCTAAGACAAGAAAGTAATGGGAACATTCAGGGAGGGGGGGCGGATCTTGCACAGCAGGGTTTCATTCCTGAAGCTGCTCTCCTGCCTTTCTGTGATGGTAATGAAAATAGTTGGCTCACGTGACTTTCTTCCCATGATCCTTTGTCACAGGTCCTAGTGCCACCAATCTCATAATAGGCTCCATCGCTGGTGCCATCCTGGTAGCAGCTATTGTCCTTGGGGGCACAGGCTGGGGATTTAAGTAAGCATCGCCGCCGCATGTCTTTTCTTCTCTGTGGCTCGGGCACCTCTCTCTTCTGCTTACATAACCTGGTTTTGAGTTCCTGCTACGAGACTTTGGTGTTAACAGTACAACCACACACACACACATACACACACACACACACACACACACACAAATATGCTTATACTCAGAAGTGGGTTAGAAATGAAGGATGTGGAGCTTCAAATGTCGTCTTCAGGCAGGCAGGGAAGCGCAGGCAATGGAAGGAATTCACTTGAATTTGAAGAAAGAACACGTCAACAGAAGTCAATAGAAGACATTTCCAGCTTGTGGTAGCAGGCCTCCCGAGTGCTTTCGTGTGCACTTAGGTGACCAAGGAGATATGTTAAGAAATAAGTATACATAAATTCCTACTTGTCTCTGCTAGAGACTGGTTTATTGTCCATTGGGGTCTTCCACAATCTCAGGCATCCCATAACTAATGTTTTTTTTTTTTTTTACATGTAACTTTGTAATTTGAAAACTTTCATTATTTACTTACAGACATTTAAAAAAAATACTTTTATTATTTCTCTAGCCAACTAAATTGGAAAGCAATGGCTTTGTAACATTTACATAGCTAAGTGGTCCTGCTGTGCTTTCAAGTGACTTTTCATTTGGATTGCATATTGATAGCCAAGATTGCTGAATCAGACCATATTGGAAAAGAACAGATAAACCCTATTGTATTTAACCTTTTAAAACCGATTTATGATTTATCTAGTTTGGATATTTTGTACCTCAGATTCATTAGAGAATCACTTTCACACATTTTGGGCTGGGGTGAGTTGATTTTTATTTTTTATAGGTAAGCCTTCCTCTGCCAAATAGTTTCTTTCATAAATTAACTTTCATCCAGA